GTAATAATAATAATATATAATATATATATATATATATATATATATATATATATATATATATAGTTTACGTAATACGATTTTGCATAGAGCAAAGATTAATGATTATGCAAATTTCATATTGCAAGAAAGCAGGTTGTTGTTGCATGTATCGAGCATTTGATTCGATATAAGTATTTCATTTATACATACTTTTATATTTTAATAAACTCCTTATTTATTTCGTACAAATTATATCATTTTGAAACATCTATGTTAATGAATCTAAATTTTGATCTAAATTTCAAAACTGTACGTTTCTGTATGTTTTTGAATTTACGGAATTAATGTTATGATGTTATGATGAGGCCTTCAGAAAACGGCCGGAGAGTAGCCACTCAGAAAATAAAACTCAATCAGTGTATTATTAATACGCATAAAAAACGAAATAGTCTCCACGTGTAATAAACTGCCAGTGATGTTGCATTTTATAAAATACAAACAATTATGCTGAAATATTTTTTGCTTTTCAACTGAATATTTCCTCAAGGAAAGTTTTAAATATTCAATATCCCATGTTAAGCAATATTCATTGATGTTATATTAATTATGATTATGGTATATTAATGATGTAATATACTACATCAAACATACCATTTGTTAATACTTTACGATTCTTTATTACATCATTCAACATATATTTACATGACTACTAATAATAACAAATGTACTATAAAAATTTATAAATCTAAAAAATATAAGTCAGATTCGGTATAACTTTTGATACAGCCTAATCAACTTTACGTTACTAGAACGGAATCGTGCGCTGAGAATGTAAAAATCACAAAGCGAGGAAAAATGAATTTTTGCGGCAGACGGCTACTTTTTTTTCCTCGCATTGACATGCACCTATTCAGAGTTCATTATTTCACGATTAGAGCCCGGTCGAGGGCACGATGACGCCTGCGTTGCTGTGAAACGAGCTGTAGACCCGACCGTACGCAGGATACTGGATGGCTGACCTCCGCATCGATTACAACACATCGGAGTAGGACGTGAAACGCAGGACGGAGCGAGACGGAGCGATACTCGCCAAGAATGGGGCATCCCCTCTCGTGACTCTTCGCCAGAGACGATACGAACGGGCATGCGCACGTTGAATGAAACGCGTCTGTTACGTCGTGCGTTTCTCGAGGCTGACGAAAAATCTCGCGTCGCTGCGTACTTGGCGAACGCCGTCGTTGTCGCTGGGATAGTGCGTAAACCTCCATAAACGTCGTCATCGTCGCTGTGCTCGTCCATACCCGTCCGGTAATGACACATTGTCAAGACGACGGGCAGACATCATGCGGCGCGATAACGACGAGAGACGCGGAGCCCGAGGCGGGCGTAGCGCGGAATCAGTCGGTGACAGTGCGTACTCACGGCTTGTCAGGCTGCGATCTGCGGACCTTCTGCTCCGCTTTCTGGATCTCCTCCGCCCTCGTGACGCTCTTCGTTCTGCGCGATCGCATCCGAAAGTCGCTGTGCTCGTGCTCGACCGTCATGTCGTTGTATCCCGCGCGACGACGTAGAGCATAGAAGCACGCGTGTTTGGGGACACACTTTCGTACACACGGCGCACCACGAGTCACGGCTCACGTGGTGCGATGAAAAAGAAAAGGGAGAAAGGAAAGAGAAAGAGAGAGGGAAAGAGAGAGAGAGAGAGAGAGAGAGAGAGA